TTGGTATTTCCCTTCAAAGTGCATTACTTTGCTTGTGTGGCATGGAAGTATGTTTGCTGTCATGGAAGATAGCTCTCCTCAACTTCTATTTTAAATTCCTTTGTCTACGAATTCTTACTGAAAAGTTTTACATCCTTTTACATCACTGAGCTCTTACCTGGATTAAAACACACTGAAAAACTCTTCAGACAGGAACCACAGTGTATTTGCATAGTTGTATGACCCAGAAACATATCTGCCAGTGAAAATTGGTATATCACAGTGTGATGCAAGTGAATGAATCTGCATTCAGCAGTATGCAAGATGAATTTTTCCCATTTTCACAATGTTAGCAGTAGGCAAAATTTGACAAGTCTTTCTTTTTCTTTTTTTTTTCTCTACCTATCATATTATGACTGATTTTTTTTTTTTTAAAGTGAAAATTTGTATTCTTGACTTTCTAAGTATCTGGAAGGGAGCTGACTGTATTTATCAGGTTTCTCATTCACACAAAAATTTCCTGGTCACACTGTCTGACTAAGCAAGTGCTTATCCTGCTGTTCATTTTAAAGCCATTCAGTTTCTATGATTGAACTGGTATATACTTACTTATATCAGTATAGTGTTATTATTCATTTACTGTCGTTTTGATTGTGTGATTGAACAAAACTGTTAAATGAGGGCATCGTCTTTCAGAGGAGAAACATGCTTTTACTCTGATGTTAATTTTCAACTAACTGTTTTGAATGAGATGATTTCTGTGTTCTACTGCGTGTATAGTGATTTTCTAACGTTTTCAGTAGAACAAAGTTTGACTGAAAATTTGTTTACACATGAAGAAAAGGAATTAGATCTTATAAAGGGCTGTAAATTTAATTATTTGCATTACTTTGGTTATGAACACTGCAGCTGGCTATTTGCAGAAGAGAAAAGCCAAGAGAGAAGCACTGAAGTTAGTCCTACTTTTGGGAAATACATCCATGTGCTTCTACAATTAATTATACCGCAAAGCTATTTGTGATTAATTATTAAGACAGTAATAATTAAGGGTGCTAAAAATCTTAATACAGTTTGCTAGTGAAATGCTGAACATATTTCAGTGGCATCAGACATTCAGGCTTAAGATCACTGTACTACAGTTACTGCAGGAATAATGACAGAGAAAGAATATTCTTTCTACTCTGATGGAATTCATGAATATTTGCCTGTAGTATATTGTGCCTCATGATTGCAAAACCCAAATGAAGATATAAACTCAGGGCTTTATCCTGTCATATCTTGAAAAACCTCCAGAGATGGACAGCACTGCCTCTCTGGGCAACCATTTCCAATGCTTGTACTCAAAATATAACACTTTTAGGTATTGCAAGGCTACTTTTAGGTCTCTCTTGAAGCCTTTCTGTTCTCTTCTAATCCTTAGGCTGAACAAGCCCACTTTCCTCTGCCTGGTTGTAGAGGGCAAGTACTCCAGTACCCCAGCCCTCTTGGTGGTCACCTGTTGAATTCATTCATCAAGTCTGTCTTGTACTGCAGAGCTTAAAACTGGATGCTGTACTCTACTTTAGATGAAGTCTAATGAATTCTGAGTAGAAGGCGATAATCTCTTCCCTTGATCTGCTTACTGGCTGTGTTCATGTTAATACAGCCCAGGATGTTGTTTGCTGCCTTTTCTGCTGGGTCACAGTACTGGCTTCTGTTAAGTTTGCTGTTCACCAAGATCCTCAAGTCTTTTTCAGCAGAGCTGCACCCTGGGGAGTTAGTCCCTGCCCGGTACAGCTGGAAGGAGTTCTTTCTTCTCAGACACAGGACTTTGCTTTTGTCTTTTGTCAGATTTCCTAAGGTTCTTGTCTGCCGGTTCATCCAGTCTGTCTAGGTCGCTTTGAATAGCAGCCCTGCCCTTAGGCATATTGACTGGTCTCCCAGCTTGGTGTAAACTACAGGCTTTGTGAGCAAGCACTCTTGTCACCTCTTGGAGGTCACTGCTAAAGATATTAAACAGGACAGGTCCCAGGACAGGCCCCGTAGTACTCTTCTTACTGTCTTCCAGGTAGAACACAACCTGTTAACCACTACCCTCTAAACCTGATCATCTTCTCTGCCCATACAGACCACAACGTCTTAACTTGGATACAAAAATATGGGAAACAGTGTCCAAAGCCTTGCTAAAGTTGAGGTAAATGACAGATACTGTTCTCTCTTCATCCACAAATCTAATAATTTTATCACAGAAGGCATTTGGGTAGGTCAGGCATGATTTACTGTTGGTAAATCCCCACTGACTGTTCCCAATTACCTTCTCCTTCATGTGATCAAAAATGTTGTCCAAGAAGACTTCAGCATAGCTTTTCCAGGGAACAAAGTGAGGGTGTCAAGCCTGTAGTTCCCTGGTTTGTTCTTTTGGTTTCTTCTTTATGATGAGGGCAACATTTGCCTTCCTCTAGTTGTCACGGATCTCCCCCAGTTTCCATGATTTTTTGAAGATGCTAGAGAATGGGCTTGCAAGGACATCAGCCAGTTGTCTCAACACCCTTGGGTGCAGTGGGTTGAGTTCCATGGATTTGTACAGGTTGAATTCTCACAAGTAAGCCCTGACTGAGTCCTCGCTGTTAATAGTCCTCTTGCTTGAACCCTTTCCTTAAGCACAGAGGCCTGAGAGGTGTTGTCATTGAAGACTAAGCCAAATGCTTGTTTCCTACATAGTTCAGATTAATTTGAATTTAAGCTCAATTGCTCTGACTTTGTGAAGACAATGTGGATAATTATTTCTATGCAGACCTTCTAATTGGCTCAATCTGTGCTATGATTTATCAAATGAGCTATTGTATGACAGCTTACTTATCTAGGCAAACTGTCTCTGTATCCTAAATACTTTCATTAATGGAGATATACGGGAAAACTCTTTGTGGTTCATTGAGTCTGTTCTTGTGACATTGTTTTGCAGAGAAACTGTGAAGTTCTGAAGCTAATTTTGGTGGGACTGTTTTCACACTGCACAGGTAGAATTCTATCACACTCAATGTAGTAGAATGTAGAAAAGATGTAGGCAAGGAAGTTTTTAGTTACCTTACAAAATAATAGTATTAGAACTACAGTAAATACCATTCTTTGAGATGTGTTGTCCCACACAGGGATAGGATTGGCTGAGAATAAGTGTTCTTTATTTCCTTAGTTGAAGGCATAAAAGATATTCAGGATGTTCTGCTCAGGTACTCTAGTCAAAAGTATCTGTATGCACTCCAGCATGTTTGGTGAAAAAGCATCAGCTTCTGAGAGAAAAATCTTGAAGGACCACAGTTACTGTAAATTAAATAATGTTATTATTTTATTTTTAAGTAGAATTTCTCTGGGATTGAAAATTGTAAGGAAAATGCAGACTTTAATTTCATATTATAAATACTTATCTTGTCAGATCTTTAAAACCTTCAGTATTTCAGACTATGAATATTTTCACTTGCTTATTAACAGCTTTTTGTACTGCTAACTAAATAGTTAAAAAATTTCCCATTCAAAAACCTCTATTAATTTAATGTAAGAAATAAGAAAATAATAAAATTTCTCCTAGACTGAGACTTATTATTGACTATAAAGATAAAAGCTAAAATGTTAGAGAAATGATAGTGTGCCATCTAAATGACATTTAGTCCTTACATAGCTTTGATTCCATATGGATTTATAACAGTGGTTGCTAAATCTCAAAAAGAATATGAGTTTCATTTTTCCTTTAGTACCAAAAGTTCACATACTTTTTGGAACTTCGTCTGACTATCCTGTATATTAAATTGCTAAATTTGCTTAGCTCTGTTATCAAAGAAGGTATTACAGGAGTTTTGGTTTTGCGTGCTTTTGAGCAGTCTAGAGAAAGCGTTGGTGTACTCTTAGAGCTCAGAAAAATAAAACTAATTTTGGAAAAAGAAACAGAAACAAAGCTGTAGTTAAGCAGAGAGATTCAAGCTTAGCTTGTCCTGGTTAAAAGATCAATTCAATTTGTATTTTTTCCCAAATTAGGTTTCTAGGGTAATACCCTGATCTTATTGAATCAGATTTTTCTTTTTTCATTGACCTAAGTGGAACAAAAACTTCTCCCTGATCTCTGATTTTTGATGGATGGTTGCTCCTTCACATGCTTGAACTGAATGACCATCTGAATCAGTGTTTTCAATTTCTTAATAAAGGTCTGCAAACAGGGCCTAAAGCAGATTTCCTAATAAGTGATTTTGCAATGCTCTTTGAAAATTATTTGTGAAGTTTGTGTAATCACTTTTTTAATCTTTCTGACTCTCACTGAAGAGGTTTAGTCCATTTCCAAATGACTGACAACAACAAGAAAAATCACTGGGTATTTTGAGTGCTGTGCTGGCACACGTGGAAGCCGTTGGCTGTGATGCAGATTTTTTTAGTGGCTGGGGTTTTGCTTGTTTTGAGACTCATAATAACAAGTGCTAAATCCCATCTTAGTGATGTGACTGAATTAGTGGAGGAAAGGTATATGAGGAGACAACCTTTCTTCCTCTTGACAGCAGGCGGAACTCTGGACATAGAGAAACCCAGTGTCTGGCTGAGTCACATAATGAAGTGGCCTGTCATCCTGCAGTGATGATGTACTGGCCTTCCCAGGCTAAATTTTGTGTTCAAGAGCTTGAAAGAATAACCAGGCCTAGATGGTTAGCAGAGCAAGCAAGGTTATGTTACCATGTATACATGGCAAACAGGGTATCTTCCATTCTCCCTTCATCCCTAACTGTGTAGGAATGAAGACGGAATTTTGACCAGTGTATTCTCTACAGACCGTGCAACAGAACATAGCACTACATATCTCTTTCTGGTAGTGAAAGAGGTCTAAATTCTGTAGTTTTTAATCAATAGAATTACTCTTGGTTTATGGCAGTATGTGCAATCTGCATTTGTACCACCTCTTTGCTATGTTGTTATTTGATGTACATGTGAGTACAGATATACTTCTGTTACGCTTGAACAAACGTTTCATGTAATTTTCAGTATTCTCTTTTTTATTTATGATCTAGGATACAAAAATAGCTTCACTGGAGCGCAATATAAGAGATCTTGAAGATGAAATACAGATGTTAAAGACAAATGGAGTTCTGAATACAGAGGACAGAGAAGAAGAAATCAAACAAATAGAAGTTTATAAGAGTCACTCAAAGTTCATGAAAAATAAGGTAAGGTCTATTAATAAAATAACTTACTGCTGTTTAAATAATGGAAACAAAAGTTTTAACTTCACCCTTTTCAACACAAGCAGCTCTCTGCATGTTGTCTTTTGGTAGATCTCTACTGTGCAATACTTAGTAGCTATGGAGAAGTGAAGCATTTATGTTTTGACTTAGGAAGAGGTAATGAAGAGACTATTTCACTGCTTCTACAGAGGCTACTACACTCGTGAATATACACTGTGTTCCCTTTTCCCTTTCTTGTGTGTTGTGTTTTAATGTTGGCTTTTTGAATTAGTTCATAATTTTGACTTGCATCATTTTGGCACAACTTCAACTGTGCAATTTTTTTCTGATTTTGCCTGTAGTTTTACAGTGAGGACTGCTGTTCTGTAGATGATACCAAAGTGTAATCTTCCAACGTTTTAATGACTTGCAGTTTGAGGACTTTCTTCCTGTAGAGTACCTTTTGTTTCAAATTATTTTACATGGATAATTATGAGCTGACCACAAGCAGATAGTAAATGTATAGTGATGTAGCACATTTGCTGGTATCAAGCTTGCAAAACAGCTTTGCTTGTTCACTATTTTAAAATGCATCGGAAGTAAAGCTTGATGTCTAAATTGTTGTTGCAGCTGGTCTTTTTACCTTCTTTCATTTTGTTGTGCTCAGCTGCTGTCTAGGTAAAGATGAGCGTTCCAAATAGTCTTTCTTGTGAATTCTAATGTTTCTTTTCTGATATTTGTGTAAGTGCCTTAAAAATTCTAATAAATATATATAATGTTACAATTTGTGCTGGCTTATTCCCACCTGTCTACCTTGCATGTGTTTTGTTTATGGAGTTATGGAGACTGAAGCATTTTTAAAATTTTATTTATAAGATAAACTAAGATGGGTCAAAACAACTCACTGCAGCCTGAAGTGGAAACACTGAAGAGGAAAGCCAGCCATCTCCTCTCTTGCACTGATGTTAAAAATTTTACCATAATGCCAGAGTAAAATCCAGGCAAACAACTTTAGTAGTCTTGATTATTATGAAATCTTACTTTATCTTAAAAGTCTTTCCATCCTAGTTATTTGTTTGGGTTCTTATTCTGTTTAATATTTAGGGTTTTTTGTGTATGTGAAATTCTAGGGAACAGAGATGGATTGTTTCACATTCCGAAATGTGTACTTGCAGCTCTGAAAATACTGTTTGGGGAGAAGCTGATACTATTACCTCTTTAGAGGCCATATAAGCAAAAAAAGTAGGAGTTAATTGGCTTAAATTGTAGTTTTCTGCCTGCCACTGTCTGTTGATGCTTAAAATACTTAGCAATGTTGCTGTTTAAGTACAAAGTTTGCAATATCGGGTAGATAAATACCATTGCCACGCTTTCAGAGTTGGGCAAGCTAAGATTCAGAGAAAGTACACAGCTTGTCTGTGGTCAGACAATGAAATGCTGTCAGCACCTTCTGGAGAATCAGAGTTCTCTGATTTTCAGTTTTCTTGTGTAAATTAGACCTTCATTATCTTCTTGACAAGATGCTTTTACTTTGTCTGAACTCCACAGGGAGTATAGGAGTAAGAAAATATTATCACATTGTGTAGTATAGGATACTGAAGATTTTCCATCTCAGAAGAGCTGTTACTGTCTCCCAGTTTGGAAACTATAGTGTCTTGTAAACTACATCACAGGAATTGCTGGTGTCTTGGGACATTGGGGCCTATTTTTATCTTCTCCTGGGAGTCTGTGCTGCAGAAGAAATCGAAGTGTTAGTGCCCATGTGGAATTATTCCAGATTTATTAAAATAAAAATTATCAAAGAATGTATTTATTCTGTTGAAAGAAGTAGATCTTAAGATACTGAAAAGTACCTAAAGTTCCTAAGTAGCATTATGATCAGGAAAATTATTTTGCCTATTTAAACATTGATAATTTCAAAGCAATTAAGTTTTAGCAATTACCAGCTAAAATCCTAATGCATCTCAGCAAATCTGTTGCTATAAAAATAATGTACAAAGCCTAGTACTTTGTTAATAACCTTCTGATGTTTTTGAGAGGAAAAGCTTCAGTGTATTTCTGTGGCACAGAAAGAAGATGAACGAGAAGACTGTTAAACGTGTCTTGTTTTGTCGTAATCTTCTGATCTTTGATAAATGCCACATTCTGATGAAACTTTGTGTTCTTTCAGTAGTCCTTTTCTTCCACTTAAAATTGAGATTTGCAGCAGAAGATACTATTTTCATCATTAATCTGAGAACCTTTCAAGGTGGAAAAGTATTTACGTAGCTGTCGGAAAACAGATTTTATTTTACCTGATCTGTTGAACCTGAGATTGTTAATAAATTCTGATAAACAGAAGTCTTGATTGATGGCAAAGAGCAGAACAAAATTATTCTCACAGTTAACAATCTTAGGTGCTATAAAGCTCTTAATACTTCACATTTATTCTTTAGTAGAACTGTTTAAAATCTGTTCTTGATTTAAATAAATAGGGAGGTGTTAAATGGAGGCCAATACTGAATATTATTTATTGTATGTGAGTGGCAGAGAATGCTGAGAAGTGTTCCTTTTCTTAACCAATTTTTAGTAATATTCACTCCTTCCAAATATATAGGCATTAATTTTGACTTGCAGTTAAATAGAACTTGTAGAAACGAGAAAGAAAACTTGCTTAGATTTTTTTTTCCCCCACTTTATGAGGACTCTCCATGCTCTGTTTTTGAAGCAACAAAAATTGCCATCACTCACATGATACAGAAGTTGTCAAAACAAGTCTTAAAGTTTTCATGACTGAGGGATATGAAGCTTCAAATATCTTCGTTAAGGATATGAAGAAAACATGTAGGAAGATATGCAGTTTTAAAAATAATTTCTGCTTTGCAAGACTTCCTTCTCTTACTAGGGTTCGTCCTTTGGCTAGCAGCGAGATATTTAAAGGAACACATGCATTTTTTCAAGTGTGAGTCTGCACTCTGGAATTTAAGTAGTTCTTTGAGTACTAGAACTCTCATGCTATCGATAGGAATGAGTACGAAAATCTAGTGATAGTATAGCACAACGTCAGCAAATTACCATTGAGTTTTAAGAATTGGTTAGGCTGTAAGAAGGCACTCTGTAACTAATGTCTGCGTACAAGAACTTTTCACACTCTATGAAGGAAAGCATGCAAGTTCTGGTGATCCTGTAGAAGAAATATATAGGAAAAGAACTACAATTTTTTTTTTTTTGTTGTGGATAGGCCTGGAAATGTGATAAACACTTTAAAAATAGACCTTGACCAATATAACCTGTAGAATCTACAGACAGACTTGTAGAATGTACTGTATGCAGCCACTTCATTTGCATTGCTACTGTTTTTCCTTTACTGAAATCCTTCACTGTAAAAAGCAGTTGTCATTTGTCATGTAAGACTAGATCCTTATAATGCATAAATCAATATAGTTTCATTTGATGGAATTATTTACTTGAAGATTTGGCCCATTAATTCTAATATGCAATCTTCAGGGGAAAGGCTCTGATTGTTTCTCTTTTTCCCTTTTCCCTTTTCCCTTTTCCCTTTTCCCTTTTCCCTTTTCCCTTTTCCCTTTTCCCTTTTCCCTTTTCCCTTTCCCTTTCCCTTTTCCTTTTCCTTTCTGTAAAAATAGTGATGTAAGAAAAAGGATAATGATCTTCTAGAAATGCTAATATCTAAGGGACTGAAATGTGGGAGGTGACAAAGAATCATGAATTGAGAAGGAAGACAAAGAACTAGGGTTTCAGGAAAGGAGGTGAAGCAAGATCATATTGGGCAATGTTGAAAAAGCAGTGACAAGGAAATTGCACATATGAAATATGTGAGATAGTGGGAAGGTCAGGATCAGACCTGAAGAACTTGGAGTTCTTTGCGTGTAAGTGCTGTAGCATCTAGACGTGTAGGCTGTCTTCACTGTAGTCTTGATAAAGTACAAAAATGTTTTTGCCTTTGTCTCTTTCTGTACTGAGATCAGGAGATCTCGTTGAATTGTGACCGTTGGTCTTCCACACCACTTAAGATACAGCAAAGTTAAAATGTTTGCACATCTGCTGTAGACAGAGATTTATTTCATGTCCCTTTTTATGTGTTCACACACTAACAGATAATTGCAGAACTTTAAAAAAGCAAATATAACCGCGTCTAAAATTTCTTTTAAGAAGTTATGTGGTTTCTTGTTATGCCTTTGGTATTTTTGATACTTAATTTTTTGAACTTAATTTTTTTAGTACACTTTCATCATTATACTTTATTTTAATAAAACACTAGCCAAAAGCACATTTTTTGTGGCTTTTAAAAAAATTTATTTATTTTATTTGAGAACTCTAACACATTTTTAAACTCTGGGCAATTTGTAGGTCTTGTAGCCAGAACTTTATACTAAACAGGTAAATGGATTCTGTTTCTAAAACCCAAAGAACATACCTGCAATGAAAACAAAGCTTTTTTTTGTAGTTGTTGCTGTTGTTGATTATTTCTCAGGGTATGGGTTGTGTCATGGAAAAAAGTGGGGAGAGATTAAGCATCTGTGGTGTTCACATGGGTCTTCTGTAAAGCATGTGATATAATTCAGAAAGGCTGCAGATCTGCATTTTGTCTTTATATCTTGTAGACAGATTTTCCCATTGTTCATTTTGCATACATTTTTGTCTTGGTTGCCATACTTTCTCACATGTTCTGACAAGGGCTGGAGGAAGGTGGTTTGCTTTCAAGAGAAAGTTCTCTAGCAGTTTCTTAACTACATTCTTTACATTTTCTTGACATCTGCTTTTTGTATGCTCCTTTTCTTATTTTGGTATTTTCAGACTCTGAAAGTGATTGCTTTTAGTGCCAGTATAGTTTCTTGATTTTATATGTAGCTCAGGAGGAACTAGTCAAGTACCTTAACCAGCTAGACAAACATATTGAGATTTATAAAGAGAAATAAGGAATAAATATATTAAGATGTGCATATGGACTATAGTTGGAAGAAGGATTTTTTAGATTGATTTTTTTAAGGATATGCTTGTGATGTAAACCAAAATAAAAATATTTTGATCAGCAGTAAATGTTTCTAGTGACTGTGCCATACAATATTGAATCTGTGAAATATTTTAGTATGTGGATCTTTAGGATGTGGTTGAGTAGGATCAGCCTGTGGATACATTTTTTTTTTTTCGTGGAGATTTTTGAGTCATTTTCCATCTAGCCCTTCTAGATTTCTTGCATTCCAAATGTCTATTGGGATGCAAGTGATGGGAGAGAATGTAAAGAGCTCTTCTTGCACTTTTCTGGTTGTCGCAGACTTGAAACTTGAATTTTAAAGAAAAATATCTAGGCCTTACAGTCATCAAGAAAACGCCAAATATAAAGAAGTGTGGTTTCTCTGATTTACGCAGATGCACTGAGGCATTTTATTTCAAATAATCCTCATGAGATGATGTATCGGAACTCATTTGGTGACCAGTGTTATTTCACAGGAGTTTAAGAAGAATAGATATATGTCACCTAATTCACTATCCTTTAGTATCATTCTGTGTATTGTCCAGTGCTTTGTTCATATTCGTATATTCTAAATCCACCACACTTTCGTGTGCTCTGGCTACCCTTCCCAATTGTCATTGTGGAAAGCGAAAAATAATCACAATTCTGTGACATTTACTGATGAACCTTAAATTCACTTAAATTCAGAAGCTCCGTCTTAGTGACTGGGTTTCTGCTGTTTCCCCTAGGATGCACTTTTACAACCTCAGAGACGTTTCACTCTGTGGAATTTTTTGTAACATTTTCTCCAGGATTCTCTTAAATTAATCTCTTTGGCTTGTCTTTCCTCGTACTTGAGAATTCTATATGAACTGCCAGGAAGGAAAAAAGGAGGTGAGGACAGTGGGCGGCAATACATTTGCAAGAAGAGTAAGGTTAAAATTCTACTTCTTTGTTTTCTTCTCTTTGCTAAGATGCCTGCTTTTGCTTATCAGGCTCCTAAAAACCTTGATTCACTCTGGCCAATGATAACTCACAAGAATCACACGGTTGGAAGGAAGAGGCTATTGGATTGAATTTGTGCTTTTATGAACATTTCTTTTCCTATGCATTTTTGCTGTCCTGCCAGACTTGTCTCACACAGGATAAATTCCTTTGAACTTAAGTTAGATCCATAGTAAATTTATAGGCCAAATCATCACATATAATCTTTGAATTTCCTTTTAACTTCTGCAACAGCAGGGAAATAATTCTGAAGACAGTGTACGTTAAATTACAAGAAACTCAATTGAAGTTGAGTGTAAAAAGTCCGAATGTTAATTCTCTTCCAAATTTTACAGGTGTCTGGGTTGTCATATCATGGTTTTTCACACCTTTCAGATTTCAGTGCGACTGTGAATTGGAAATTAAATTAATGGTCTAACCATTTTTTACCCATTACAGATTGACCAACTGAAACAAGAACTCTCAAAGAAAGAATCAGAACTTCTTGCCTTACAAACTAAGCTTGAAACCCTCAGCAATCAGAATTCAGATTGCAAGCAACACATTGAAGTGCTTAAAGAGTCACTTACTGCCAAAGAACAGAGAGCTGCCATACTTCAGACAGAGGTATTGTATCTTCTTATCATAAAATGCAATAGAAATATTTAGTTCATAGCATGTGTCAAGGTGATGATGTATTTGTTGCAAGTCTGTGTAGAAGGTAATTTGTTAAAGAATAGTGAAATAATTTAAAACCCTTTAAATGGCAGTATATTTGGTATATATTTTTTGGTGGTACACCACCTCTCATTCTAGAATTTTTTTAGAAGCAACTATTATTGCATTTAAGAAAATGTTTGTGCCTGTTCTCACTGGCTTCAGTGTGGGGAGCTGGGCATTAATTGACTTGATTGTTGTGATTTCATACCTTGTTTCTTCATGTATTAGTTGACTGCGTTTTCCTCTTGGCTGCTCTGGCTTGATGCTTGCTTTTGACTGTGTATTTCTATTCTGAGGAGTGAAGCTACTGATGTATTTTGAAGGGAACTGTTGAAGGGTGCATGATATTAATCTGTTGTTACTGTTTTGAGTGTAATCAACATTTATTTTAAAATATGATTTATTTCAGTCTTTAAAACAGGCTAGTGCACTAGTTACATACGTATCTACAAAGTCCAATCATAAAAATATGGGTAATGGAATAAACGGTTGAGATGGTTGTCATATTCGATGAAATGTGTAAATCAAGTGTTAAAAAAATTGTCCATTAGTTCACTTCCTGGGGTTTTAAAAAACTTTGTACACTTGGAGCACACAATACTGATTAGACTGATTCATATTATAGTGTCTTAATTTTATTTTTAATGTGTGTACCCCTTTCAAGAAACAGAAATACCTGGTAAATTCAGTCACAGAGTGCAAAGAGTTTCTATTCAGAGAAGTATATTATTTAAGGAATACAGGTATCTTCCAGAACATTTGAAATTTCTGGCTGACAAAGCTCTAGGAGAAAAAAACAGACTAAACTCATCATTATCATGGAAGCACAAAATAAATATTTTTAAGATTCTGATGATCCCTCTGTGCTGTATGTCTTATCCTCTGTACATTTGGAAGACACAGATGAAATCTTGCAGTTTCCAGCTTGTTTTTAATGGGCCAGCCAGCATATGTATATAAGACAAAATGATCATAATAGAACAAAAGTAAAAAATGCAGCAATTATGGCAGATCTCAATCTAGCTTTTGAGTGGTAAAGATTACATATTTTAATTTTTCAGCTATGCAAATCTGTTTTGCAAGCTTTGTATTACCTGTCATGCTGCTGAGGATGGTGATGAATTCCATTTGCTCTCCGCTAATTTGATTTCCTAGTTCTTTATCGGACTGGTATGTATTCAAGGCATTACAGTCTTATGGCTGGCAGATGGGCAGTGGTAAAAAGAACTGAATCTACATACTCTTGATGAAGGGCTGCTGGGATTGCCTAGTCCTGGCGGAGAACAAGTTGGTTTCTGACAGGTATTCAATTCCTCTTCTTCCCAGTTTCTAAATAAGGTAGCTGAGTTTGAACCTTCTATATGAAGCAATTTAAGTTAAAATTAGCTGTAATTGCCTATCAGTGTGCAGGTGACAATCAGTTGTATTGTGTCTGCTTATTGTTAGTCTCTCAGGGAAACCAAATGAAAAATTAATGCAAAAACAATCAGAGAGGTAACTTGATAGAATATATGCTCTATAATAGCAAAGAATGACTCCCTTTTGTTTGGCCTAATGTGTTATTTGTGATATAAGTGATTGTGATATTTTGTACAAATAATGTGCAATTCTTCCAGCTTTCAATTAAAAAAAAACCCAAAACTGCTTAAGTATGGGATGAAGGAAAGCTATGCTCAGTATAATTTCTATTCAGTGGAAGATACCAGTTCCTGGTTTTGATTATTTATTTTAATTAGCCCTTTACTTCTGTATAATCCAAAGCATTGTGATGACAAGCCTCTGTTTCTTTCTGAATGAAATAACACTGTAAGCTAGGTGGGTCATTGCTGATATGAGACTTAAAAATGAAGCAAAAAAACTCATAAATGTCATCACAGTATATCTTGGTTTTACACAGTTAAGGCTGCCTCTGGGTGGACTTGCTAGATCAATTGAGCCTGAATTTATTTGTGACTGAATCTTCAGAAGTTGTGTTTTGATTTCGTATGCATTATTGTCAGCCTTTGGTAATTACATTACCTCATAATTTGATGAAGCTCTGAAACATTGCAAACTATGACTCTAGGTGATTTCTGTTTTCTGCTTTGAGTAGGTAATGATTTTATCAGACAACAGTTTTTTCAGTTTCTTTTCTCTTTTTAAAATAACTTGTAAAGGGAATTGGGGAAAGTTGGTGAATTATGTCCACCTCTTATGGGAATTAATTTTAGTTAAAATTTTCTGTAATTGTCTGTTCATGTACAAGAGGCTTTTGGCAGAAGGGTCACATTAATGTAACCCCCCTGGGAGATCATATGAAGATGAAGGCCTCAGAGTATTGGGTTAATGTCAGACTGCATTTTGGGATATGGTACCTCTTGAGATGCAGTAGAAGCAACATAAGGAAAATAGGTTCCAATTCCAGTTATACACATTTATTGATGCAGCCACTATTTGAAATGGTTTTCCAAATAATTTTGATCTAATAGCAGATCTAAAATGGTAAATAACTTCACTTGCCTCAAAATTTTTTCTGTTTAGTTTTGAAAAGATAGCGTTACAGGGTGTGCTCTTATGTGCACCATTTGCCTGAGGCAGAGACTTCAATAACCTGTGTTAAACTTTAAAATTATGTCAGCAATTTACCTGGTCTCGAAATACTTTAATAACGTGCGTTCTTTGGGTAATGTTAATTACATCTCATTTTTTATCCATTTATGATACACTGAATGTTTTATTACTTTCCTGTACTTTATGATGGAGATGTAGCACATCTCAAATCTGCTGAAAAAGATCTTTTATGTTACAGAGGTAGCACACCGTGTACCCATTAGTTTCTCAAGCCAGGACTTATCAGGAAAGACCAGTACTTCTGTTTGTTATTTTAAAGCCTCAAGGTTGTTGCAGGCATGTCACAGGCTGTACAACTTTCCATCTAGAAGATTAGATATTCAGGGGTTAGAAATGAAGAACCATTTCTGGAGCTAAAAAATATTGAGGCTCGCAAAAGATATGTGGTTAGTCTGAACATACTTTTCACCTCTTCTGAACAGACTTTGAATCAAGAGCTCCTTAAAACTACTGACCTATCTAGTCTTGTTTCCTTGAATAGAGTCTTACAGCAGCTTTCAGCTAGCCGTAAGAAATACACACATATAACCAAATGCTGGCTTTGTCATAGATTGCTGTGCAAATATGTGAGGATGTTACTTGCTTTCTCCAACAGTCATGAAAACAAGTGGCAGATCTCTGTGTCCAAGCAATTTCATAGATTAGAAAATAAGATTCTTCAAGGCTGATGTGCATGTTCTAATGATGCTCTATTGTTACATATTTTTAAGACCCTCAGGGTTTTGGCACATTTCTTACCACCCTGCTGTGTGCTAGGGAGTTTTTCTGGTTAAAAATGATTGCCAGGATGTCTCTTCTCCACAAACTACTATGTTACAACTTCCAGACTGAGTGTGCAGTTTATTGGAGAGAAAATCTGTTAAACTGTGGGTGTTCTGGAGAAATGTGCTGAAGCTCTGAGGAACACAAAAGCTGGACAGCAGCTGAATTTGTGGATTGCTACATCTACCCCTGTAGGCCAAAGTTCTTGTTTCTTACCAATATTTAGACAAAACCAGAAAGAACACATCCTTAACATAAGCGACAAGAAGAAACCTCAGTAAAAATTAATTACGAAGGCTGTAGACCACTCATTAGATGTCATAAGTTTGAGGGTTTTTGAGCTGATCTTGTTCCTAGTGTTAGTCAGTTATGAGCTGGTTGAAAACAGGCTGTTCGTGCTGCTTGCGCTTTTTCTTATTCAGGATGGAAATGCCTCCTTTTTTCTCTTTTTTTGCCTGCTTATTTGCCCTTTATGTATTTCTACTGACTAGTGGGCCAATATGTGGAAATAAGAATTAAGTAATTCTTGTTTGTTTCATTATATGCTTCATTGTGCATCTCAATTAACAAATTTATGCCTTCAGGCTGCATTCTCCTGTTACATCCTGTACAAATGAAATGTGATGCAGCAAGACAGGAAAATTCAAGATGATGCCTTAGAGTAAAATTTTCCTGATCACCCTGTATACCTACTCTTAGTTTTATGGGGAGACTTTTTGGTAATCACTTGGCAAATATAAACTTGCTACAAGGCAACAATGTCTGTCTTCAGTACTCAGAAGTATCCTGTGTTTCAAAAGGACCTTTTACATTTCCATTTAATCTTGAATTTTGAGAACTCTGGAGAAGTGGAGGGAATCACAGAATCACAGAATGTTTGGGGTTGGAAGGGACCTCTGTGGGTCATCTAGTCCAACCCTCCTG